GAAACTAGGGAGGGAGAGAGATTCGGAGTCTGCTGGAAGAAGGAAGAAGAAAGAGAGAAATAAAATTTAAGGGAAAAAAGGGGCAAGAGCGTATATCTAAGGATTTAATTTTTAGTGACGGTTTTGGTCCCATCACTAAAATCATTCTAAAAATCCAAAACTTTCAAAAATATAACCATTTCCCTCGTCGAAAATGAGTGACGGTTTTGTTAAATCATCACTAATTTCTCACCTTTTACGATGGTTTTTGTTTTCAAAAAATCATCATAAATTGTTTTAAAAGAAATTAATATTTCTAGGGATTTAGTGATGGTCCACCAAAGCCATCGCTAATTCCCCTCGCAAGAAGGAATTTTAGAGATGGTTTAGCAAAATCATCATTAATATTGTTCCGTAATTGAGAAATTAGAGATGGTTTACCTAAACCGTTGCTAATTTCAAAATTATTCATAAGATTTACGATAGTTCACTTAAATCGTCATAAAATTTGGTCTTTCTTGACCGATTTAGCAACGATTTATTGAATCATCACTAATATTTTTTTTGACAACCCGATTTGCTATAGTTCTCTAAAAACCATCGCAAAATTTTTTTTTCCTATGATTTTTAGACTCGTCACAAATAAACCCTCACGAAATCTATTTTTCCCGATATTAGATGTTATCATATGTTTAACCCCATTTGGTATTGTTGCTTATTTGTTTATTTTTTCAAAACTATTATCAAAATTTTCACTAAACTATATTAAATATTGTATTAGTCTCTAGGAGATTGTCTTTCTTTTATTTGTATTTGTCCCAAAATACTTATTTTTTCAAAATTTCAAATAAAATATTTTTCTAAAATACTTGGTAATGAAAATCAATACTTGCTTTCATTTTCTATCCTTCACTAACAAAAAATAAATCTTCTTTATACTTTATTCTTATACATACAAATACCTATAATATAAAAATTTCAGTTTTTTTGCTATGTGAAATTTTTTTTTCTTTTAGAGGCTTCATTGCATGCAAAAACTATAGGAGTAAAATATTTTCATTAGTATGTTATTTTTTCATAATTATTTTAAACTTGATTTTAATTAACTAAATGATTTTTTTCTTTGACTTACCACCTTAATTTTGGATATATTTGTTTCTTAAATTAATATTGGTTTTGTATAAAACATGATTAAACTTGCTAATAATTTTAACAAAAAATAATTTTAGAAAAAATATGAATAAAAAATCTAATATGATATAACAATCAATAACTTTATTAAATTGAGTGAAAAGTCAAATGAGACAATCTCTTTGATATAGAGAGAGTAATTATCATCTCTTCTCAAATCTAGTTCTTCAATTGTTATGTTCTATTGTCTATAATAATATTAATAATATAATTTTTTTTTCATCATACGGAAACAATACTAATAGATAAATAAAAAAAGTTGGAAATTGATTGTAATAATAATAATAATAAGTAATTTTTATTGGCCTTTTGGAACAAACAAACTTTTGGAAAAATTAATCTAAGAGATGGAAAACCTTCAAAAAATTCAGCAATCATATGACTAGATGCTTAAAAAGACCGTGAAACTAAAATAGAATTACTACTATCCCGAGAGGAAGCAATGTGGCTCCAACGATCAAAAACCAACTCGATGAAAGATAGGGACAAAAACACTTGGTTTTCCACACAAAGGCAAGCCTATTAAAGAAGATAAACAATATTTATGGATTAAAAAATGGCACAAGTCGGTGATTGACCAAAGAAGAGGCCATTTAGATGATGGTTGTAGACTATTTTCGGACCCTATTCTCTTCCTCTTCCCCAACCAATCTGGAAGTCGTCACCAATGCAATGAAAAGTAGAGTTACTTAGGACATGAATAACAAGACGATATAGGAGGTCAAGATGGCTCTTCATCAAATGTACCCTACCAAAGCTCCTAGCCACGATGGAATCAAAAGAACTTCTTTGCACTCTCAAAGACTAACAATGCCTCGAGTCGGCAAATTAATTTTGATATGTCAAAATAGTTTTTTAGCCAAAATATTCCACAACAGATTCGATCTTTAATCTAGAGGAGGATGCAAATGAAGGTGGTGGAGAAGCATGACAAGTACTAACTCACCCTACAATTATTGGGCATTCAAAGAAATCTATCTTTAGTCCGATCCGAAATAGAATGCTAAAAAAACTAAAAGGTTGGAAGGAAATGTCTATCTATGACTGCAAAAGAGATTCTCATAAAGGCAATGGCTCGAGCAATTCCTACATATATTATGAGTTGCTTCCTCATTTCATAGGGCTTGTGTAAAGAACTAGACTCGATCATATCAAACTTTTGGTGAGGTCAAGGTATGAGAAAAGTTGAATTCATTGGCTAAAATGGAATAGGGTATGTACCTCAAAGCGAGTTAGAAGGGTTGGGGTTTAAAGATTTTCACTCCTTTAATATTGCTATATTGGCTAGACAAGTTTGGTGACTTATGAATGATTACTCTTTTCAACCTCTTGAAGGAAAAATATTTCAAATCCTTTACATTCGAGCTTGGCCGATAAGAAAGGTTCCTCCAGTTACTCTTGGCAAAGTATAGTGCATGGAAGACTAATTGTTATGCGAGTACAAGGTGAAAAGTTAAGAATGGTAGAACAATTTGGGTTTGGAAAGACAAATGGTTGTAACTCAAAGCAAGCCATAAACTTTGGTCTCTCGCCTCGACTCCTAAATGAAGATGCAACCGTTGCATAGATTATTGACTCACAAAACAACATATGGAAGACTATGCTTATCCATCGCATCTTTATGCCATTTAAAATAACACGGACTCTCTAAATTCCTCAAAGCCATCGCTCATCAAATGACACGCTAATATGGCACTATAAAAAAATGATAACTTTACGGTAAAAAAGTACTTATTTTGTAACTTTAGACTCGTTTAAAAACAACATGGTAGATACTAATGATCTAACCGACATTAAGAAATGAGTGTAAAAGTGGTTATGGCACCTAAAAATTCCTTTAAATGTTAGACATTTTTGTTGGAGAGCACCGAACGACATCTTCCCCTCAAGAATGAACTTGGCTAAATGAGGGATGAATTTAGATCGATCTTGTGGCTAGTGTGGATACCATTCGGAGCATATTAATCGCATCCTATACAACTATCCATTTGCCTGAAGATTTGAAATTCAAGAGGTAATACTATACCCGGTTTTATACCTCTATCTTTTTCCTTTTGCAATTGATTTATGATTCCATATTACAAATGAAAGACTCGGCCATCGAATCTACAATCATGATGGCTTGAGGTATCGGTATGCTAGAAATTACGTATACTTTCAAAATAATGAGATAGACATTTCGAGTATAATACAAATTATTGTATGTACTCGTTTCATTATCAATATGTTAGTCACAAAAAAAAAGATTCCTATTTCTTAGTATTGCAATCAAAAGACCTTAAGTTCGGCCCCCATGCAATGATATAATCAAAATCGATGTTGATGCTTCCATTAGCAACATTATCAATGGACCAGGAGTAATTGTAAGGAATTCTCTCGAAGAGATCATGTTCTCGACCCACGAAGGACGAGAGGTATAATTTTCTATCTATATAAGTGAAGTTTTTGCTACACGTTATATATTTCAACTTGCTATAGATATGAGGTTTTATGTTGTCTCTTTGAAATCGGACTACTTGAGTCTTATCTCTCAATTCCAATTAGATGTCGAGGATGATAATTATTTATCTTCTATTCCTTTAGAGATTATTTATCTTCTATTCCTTTAGACATCAAATATCTAACTAGTGAGTTTAATTCATGCACTTTCATTCATGATAGTCATATATACAATAAGACTCGCTCATAAATTAACTAATTTGGTCATATTTAACCTCGCTTAACATTAATGTTGAGAACCACCTACAATATTTATGGAAAATAGTCCAAGATAATGTACCCTCGTTGATTTTTTAATGAAGTTGAAATTAAAATAATAATAAGTGGTTTATTTATTGATAAAGAAGTTAAGATGCGCCTGCAGGATTTCAACCTTCTCACATACAAACCATGACAAAAAAACACTAATAACCCTTCTTTAGTTTACGTTCATAATTAATAGAGTAAAGCAAATGTGACGTCAATCAAAAAGCTATAGATATAATTTTCAATCTTCAGCCGTGAGTCTGAGGCACTGCCACTTTCCCTTCTTCTTTTTTAATTCTCCATTTTTTAAATATTTTTTAATTAATTTATATATCAATCCAAATTAAATTATTTTTCAGATGATTTTACAAACATACATCTATATCGGTTTAACATTTCTTTTTTCAAAAAAATTAATAAAAAATGATACTGATATCAAAATTTAAATCTAGTTTAAAAAAAATATATATATTTATGCGATGACCTTTCAAGATTTTTCTTGCTGCAACTCTTCTCTCTCTACCAATTATTAAACAAATCATAAACCACGTTGCTGTCTTTGATCAGCCATGACATATATGCGATGCGACACAATCCAGTTTATCTCAGGGCTCAGGCTTAGCCAGCTAGAGCCACGGAGCCGAGCCACACTCGTGGTCCCCGTCATTAACCTTCCAAATTATTAGCTCCCCACATCCGCATCCTGTCATGGTTCGACACGCGTCAACAGTGGAGGCCACTTTGCTCTGTTTCTTCATGGCTAAGCTAAATCAAAAAGCCAATATTTACGTGGACCCCATCAGCTTAGGTCACGTCATTTGGCCTTTTAAAAAAGCAGCAAGTTTTTAACACTTCACACGTTATAGTGCCCACTGACTAGAAAGCCAATCGCTGTACGCATACGGTTTTTTATACGTAAAATATACGGTTAAGGACAAATATACCCTCGAAGAGACTTTTTCCATGCCCAGGGTGGGTCCCCCCAACGTCGCCAATTTGGCCATAAATATGAGTCCCCTATGCTGCATTTCTTCCCTTTCCTCCTCCTTCCTTCCTCCCCTCTCTATTTAGCAATTTCTATAGCCATGTTGTCCCCAATTTCTGCCATTTTCCCATCGGTTGAACCGATGCCCGGAAACCCATTTCAGTCCTTTGAGAATGGCTTCACGCCTTGGGACTGTTTTGACCCCGTTCCAAGTGTACCTCAATCACCAAAACCTGTTGGTTCGTGTTCCGGTTCGGATGAATCCAACCGGTTGAACCAAAATCCAGACAATTCGAACACAAACTCCGGCTCTGATGATCCAAACCCTCCAGTTTCGGTCATAGATGAAAGGAAACGTAGGCGGATGATATCAAACCGGGAGTCGGCAAGGCGGTCACGGATGCGAAAACAGAAGCACACAGAAAACCTAAGGAACCAGCTGAACCGGCTTAGGAGTGAGAATCGGGAACTGACGAACCGGTTGCGCTTTGTTTTGTACCATGTCCATAGTATACGGATGGACAACGACCGGCTTCGGTCTGAATCTAGTATTCTCCGAAAAAAGCTGTCGGACATACGCCAAATTTTGATGATCCGGCAACTCCAACAATTCACGTCCGCATGGCCATGCAATAATATTATTACTGCCACCGAACAAATAGCTCCATCATTAATCACTTCATAAACTATATAACAAATAAATCATGAAATTCAAAGTTAAAACAGGAAGAAAAAGAGGCTTGCTTTTCAGTGTCTTCTCAGTCTTCGTAGAGTCTTGTGTAAATGATAAAGGTGTTATAAAGCAAAAACTAAATGGTGGGTTTTCGGTGATCTTTGGTAAAGGGTGTTTTTTAGGGCAAAATAATGGGCGGTTTTGGTTAACTATGGTTCATTGTCGTGTAAAGAGGCTAGTTAACAAGTGTTTGGTTATTTAAAGCAATATTATTTTGTTTTGCTACTGTTTTTTTCAGTTTAAAATTGGCACTACTTTTAAGATCCACTTAATTACATTATTATTATTATTATTATTATTATTATTATTATTATGAATGCATCATATAATCTAATTGGCCGGCCATATGTTTAGATCGGATTGGCATGATTAATGATGGCCAAGGCAACTTCCAAATGTCAAATTAAGTGACCGGCGTGTTTAATTAATGTTGGAATTTTTTAATTTGAATCGTTCCCCACTATACTTGGAGACCACAAAAGTCCTAGTTATCCACGATCCGTTCACTTTAAGCTACTAAAAAAGCTTATTTCAAGAATAATTAATGATGTCTTTTAATTTTTTTTTTAATTTTTCTTTTTTTGTTCTAAAAAAGGTTGGAACTCAAAAATTGGTAAAGAAAGAGAAGACACTAACACCAATTAAACTTGAACCAATTAGCTTTTTGTATTGTACTGACGTCCGATGACAATTTTATTAATAAAGGCATTGCTTTTGTCCGGCCTAATAATCTATTAGTTTGGGTTGCATATATCTCCTCTCTGCCTGCCTTCGCAAATGATGGGCAGCCAATGATATGATTGAATTACATACAAAGGGTGTGCGGAGGTTGAATTAGTTTTTCTCAAATACATTGAAAATTACACTTGCTATTTCAATTGAGTCTCCGTTTGTCTAACAAAAGATAATCTTTATAGGAAAATCAATTATAGAAAAGTTATTTTTAAAAAAATTATTTTTTAAAAATATTTTTTTTAACGTTTGATAATTATATGAAAAAGTTGCTCGAAAATATATTTTAGTGTTTGTTTCATATAAAAAATTAAAATACAAAAATATATTTTTTTTTAAATTGAACTGATAATTTAGTTTAAAACATAATTTTACAAATTATTAGTTATCATTTGTAGATAATTATTCATTTGATTTCAAAATATTAATATTGGAATAATTTGTAACTAATTATTAATTATAATTACTAATAAAATTTTATAACTAATTAAAATTAGTCACAAATCATTGATTTAGTTACAAATGAATAGTATCAAAAAAATAATATATTTATTAATGAATTAATTAATTTCAAATTTATATATGGAATTGCTTTAATGTTAGTAAACCTCTAGAATTCTTTTCGTTATAATTCTTTATCAAGAAATTAAAAAATATATATTTTTTTTACATGTTTAATAGGAGAAGTTTGACTTTCCCGATATTGCAAAGAAATGGATTTTGGCATCGTTAAACAAGAAGTAGAGGGATTTCAAAAGTGACTTGAAAGCTAAGTTTTTTTATCCTAGTAAAACCGACGAAGAGATCATTGCCTCTAAAGAATTGCCTTCCGGTGTGTTGATAGATCAATGGTCTACTTTGGTCAATAGATGATTTACTCCAAAAAGTCAAGTTTCAAATTATTTGATACTGTAAGTTGCTTTCTTTACCTATTTGTATGATTTATAATCAAATGTGTTTTTTTTTTTTATGTAGAAAGCAAGTGAGGTAAATACTACAAATGCAAACAAAAATAAATGTGCACATACATTAAGCGAGAAAAAGTTGTGCAAGGAAAAGAAGAGAAATGGTAATTTTAATAATTTATAAATTTTTATTTAAATATTATTTATGTATGAAATTAGATTAAATATGTATAATTGTTTGTAAGAAGAAAAGGATGGAAAGGAACCCGATAGGTTGACATTGTATGAAGCTACTCATAAGAAAAATGATGGCACATTTGTGGATGACAATGTTAGGCTAAAAATGATACTATCATTTTATTGTTATTTATTTATTTCGATGAATGATATTTCATTATTCATTTATTTTGAATGTACTTGTCTTCATATTTATAGGAAAAGGCTCGTTCTCTCCAAGTCGACCGTTATGAATGTTCCTCAACCACCAATATTAAGATATAAATGAAGAGATTTTTCAAAAAGTTATTGGTAAAGAACACAATGGTAGAGTTAGAGGATTAGGCTTGGGTCCAACACCAACACTTTTCTTTGATATACAATCTCAACTTGGAAGTGGTCAAGGTGGTGCATCTACAAATCAATCAAGTGAAGTAGAAGAAATGAAAGAGCGAGTTGCATAATATGCAAACCAAGTATGATGCAATGGAATATAGATATAATGCAATAAATGCGACATTAACTACTGTTACTATTTCATTGCAGAGAGATATCCCGATCGAATTTGATACCTACTTCATTGAATCCTACTCATGTATTATAAATTTTTAATTAAATATTTAATATTTTTTTATCTTAAAATATTTTTAATGAGTTTATATATATATATATATATATATATATATATATATTACCTTCAAATTGTGCTTTGATAGGTTCGCAATGATGGTAATGGTCAAAATGCTCCTTCTCCTACTCGTTCATCACAATCGAGTCATTTGTCGAAATGAAACATTAGTCACTTATTTCCAAATATATTTAGAATTTTGTTTATGTATTTCGAATAAGTGTTTAAGAATATTGCAAATGTTTGACGACTTTTTCTTTAGTTTTTTTTTTAATTGTAAAAGTTTGACTACTTATTATATATTTAGAATTTGATAATTATAAATTTAAGAATATTATGGTAGCTATATAATTTTAATTTTTTTTACATTCAATAATTGAATTTGAAGGTGAAAGGTAAATAACGTCTTTATAAATTATAAAATTTGCTTTTATGAATTCTAAAATTAATTTTATAAATTTTATAATTTGACGCGGTTCTACAAATACTCATCTTGAGGCGGTTGCAACCGCCCCTACAAATCATAATTTTGAGGCGGATTCCACCGTCGCTACAAATCCGTACCTTGAGGCGGTTTGAACCGCCCCTAATATTTCCCTTGAATTTTAAAAAATTTCGATATTGTAGAGGCGGTTCCCAATCGCCGCAACAATTACGCGCTGAAAAAAAAAAGATTATAAAATTTGCATTGTAGAGGCTATTGGAACTCGCCTCGAAAAAAAAATATCGAGGCGATTAAAACCGTCTCGGAATTTTCGACGGTTAGAAAAACCGCCTCTACATCGTAAAGACGGCGAGCATTGCAAGCGGTTTTAGAGCGGTCCGAAAACCGCCTCTACAATATGTAGAGGTGGTTATAACCGCCTCTACAAGACAAAAAAACCGCCTGCAATACCCTTTTTGGTGTAGTGATTATTTAGTTCCGTGGGTGCTTGATCCGAAGGATCTCTTTCTCTTTTCTAGCCATTTGTCTTAATCGGAAGGATCAAATCCATCTTTTTTGGGGTCGTCATCATGATTATTCTATTAATGATATATTTTTAAGATTATTGTGAAAAAAAAATTATTTACCTTTTAAACTAATTCTAAAATATTTGTATTCAATGAATCAAAAAACACCTAATGACTATTCTTTTTCTACTAATTATGTTGGAGAGTAATATAAAATTATTTTTTAATCTCATAAAATAGCTTAAACTTTTGAGTTAAAATAATTTTTTAATATTATATCGGAATCTTAATGACCAAACAATCACGTTTGTATAAATTTCAAATCCAAAAAGCTTCCATTTAAAAGAGTGTTAGAAAGTAATATAAAATTTTAAATTTTTGAAACTTCACTTAATAGTTTAAGGTTTTAGATTAAAATGATTATTTAATATGATATCAAAAACTTATTAATCAAACCTTATTGATTAAGTGATTATGAATTCAAAACTCATTATTTTTATTTTTTTTCTAACTAATTAAGCACAAAATTATGTGCGTCTAGGCATATAAAATCGTTGTTGGGAGCTCGTCTCATATTTCCTTGACAAAACATGATTGAGGATTTGGGTTTTAAAGTATAAATTAAGATGGTATGAAGGGGCCACGTATAGCGATGAAACACTTAATCAAAATATACAAAGAAATGCTCTCGTCATTCTCCAATTTTGCTTCTTCTTTTTTTCAAGGACAAGTTAAAAATAAATATGCTTTTGTTGCTAATTGGTTGTTAATATTGGTTAATGGTACGATTAAGAAATCATGTTAACGCGCAATGGATATTCGTCGCATCTTCTTTGGCAAAACTCCTAAATTTACTATTCATTGTGTTTTTGTCAATTATTTATTTTTATCCTTATATATATATATATATATATATATATATATATATATATAGAGTTCAATTTTAACTCTTATATTAATTTTTTGAATTCTTCCAATTAACCTTTGTGTTTCCTTAAAATTTTCCAATTAACTCAATAGCTAGCTTATGTGCCATTATCGAATACTTTTCATTTATGAGATGACATTTTGTATTAATATAGGACCTATATAGTGGTAAAGCTGGGATAAAATAAATGGGAGGCCAATGTGAAAAAAGAAATATAAGACAAACATAAAAAATACCATCCAACTATATAGGTAGTTTCTATATAGCTACTAAATAATTTTTTGAATCAGTTTTGTTTTTTAACTTTTAGAATTTATCAATTAAGGACTTTCGTCTAATTTTAAGGATTTCCATTCATATTTTCATTCAAATTATATTCTTTGTTTTAAATATAGGGATAGGACTAAATAATTGATACAAACAAATGGATAAATTTAGAGTTTTATATTTTTATCCGCCAATTAATTACTCCTATAATCTTTGTAAATGTCCATATCCTAATACCGATTTTGATAATTAAAACATTTGTGGATAGCAATGACTATTTTTTTAATCTGCACTATATTATGGATCGGACAAAACACATCAAATT